TTACTAAAATAAAGGCACTAAGCGTTAGAAAAAAAGGTTTGAATCTCGTGATTTGAACCCTAGTTGGAATATCTGGAAAAACTCAAAAACGCTCTTCTATTAGATACAAATATACGCTAAAATTGTTCTGTGGGCCGCACGGAATGTATCAGCATGACAGGGTTTAGACCCTCCTGGTCTACCCTATCAAAAAACTCCCGACTTCGCTGACCACTAGATCGTTGAAATGCGATCGTGGAACCGCCACATAGTGCAAATAGTCCATTGGTCCAATTGTTGAAGAGAAAATAAATGTTTTTAAAACAAAAATGCAGCATTATTTATTTTTGATAAAGAAGGATAATATGATACTTGAAGACGAAAAATAAGCGAACATTTTGAAGTTTGAGTTGTATGGTGAACTCGGAATATTGTAATAAACTATATAAAATTTTGCTATAAATTTTTTTGTGGTGCCCTCTTTGCTTGGTGCCTTAAGCACGTGCTTATATTAATGGTTAATCGGACGCTGGGGGCCTCTACCGTTGGCGACAAACATCTTACAGTCTGGTTAGAGACGGTTGTAACGTTTCGAATGTGGAGGGATCAAGGAAACTGTTGCTGCTGTATCCAACAGAATCTGCATTTTTCGATGTGATTAAAACAATATAAATTACTTCGACACTTTGCCCTATTAATTTGAAAACAAAATATGTCGATGTGATTGAACTTTTCAGCTCGAGAATTTCTCATTCAGTCATAAACAACATGGGGAATCATAAAATGCAGACAAATGGCAAAAAGACATAAGACAAAATGACGCGTCAGAAAGACGTATTTTTTTTATTCTTAACTTGGTTATGCGTGCATTTACCTCAGAGTGCTTTTTAACAAAAAGGAGCTTATTAAAAATAAAATACTATATGTGATGTGGTACACTCCTCATTTTGAAAACTCGCGGTCTTCACATGAAATATATATTTTCGTGTTCCCCAATTTTTTCGAAATATGGAGACGATAAAATAAATCGAGTAATATACTTGAGAGTAATAAAAGGAACACCATGATGGCATTCCAATTAACGTTAAAATTAATAAACCATGTTGAGTGGTTATCTCACTGAAATGATCGATAAAATCCATCTGTCAAGTGTGGTACATCACTGAAGTTGAAATATGAGAAGTTACTTGTCTAACAAATTACTTTCGCATGAATGAGCCGCCTTCATTCCTTCTCATTGGCGATGCTTATTATGAAGAGGAGAGGACAAGTAAAAAAGAGTTGATCTGGATCAGCAAGAATCATAGAATTGTAAATGGAGGCTCTGATTATAGCGGGAATTTTCGCTCTAAATATTTTGTCGATTCAAGGTCGATTTTGTTCACTTGCTTTTCATCAATATTGCTCAGGTGAGTATATTTTAGTATCTACCAGCTAGAATTAATAAATGTTAGTAGAATTGATTGGCTTAAATCAGCTTTGAGCAAACTACAGCCCTCGGGACGTATGCGCCCGCCAAATAATTTCCTGCAGCCCAAATGCTCTTGGAGAGAGTTGAGAACAATTCGTAAGACTATGCACAAAATTTAGATCTATCTTAATGTTTTTTTTAAAATGATTTACTTATTGTACCATGTTCAATACAAAGCTAATGCTCAGTTCCCTAATACATAAATAATAAGCTGCAATTTGAATATTATCGTGCAATTTCTCAAGTGGTAAATTCCCTTTATTGTAACCACGTATACTTTCGCCTCAGAATTATTACCTTTCTTATCATGAACTAACGTTACGCATACTATAGTATGCCAAAGAAAATTGACGATGGCATTTTCAATGTCTCTGAGCAACGAAACGTGGCAAACAAATTTGCTACATATGGGATATTTCTAGTCCGAAAAATTGACCTTCACTCGGATGATTTCGCCTAACCGTTTACCCCATGCATGCTAAGCTCAGAAACAGTTGCATTCAATAAATTGACTGCTAGCTCTATTTGGTTAATATTTTGCAAACTAGACATGTTCTCCGTTCGTCCATTTTTAGAGAAAAGTGTTTCCGTTTTGTGCATGAGACAATAAATGATGAATTGATGACGAATAAGTTATTGACAAAAATCCTACAGCATATATTATTATATAACTGCCTCTTGAGCAATGTATTTATTGTCTACTCTCTACGACAGGGGTGGGCAACTTCTCTAGTTGGCGGGCCATATGTAGGAAAATGAAGTTCTCGGCGGGCCGGATTATAACATGAATAGTATTCAATATCTTAATCACATATTCATTCGCTAATGCAAGAAAGGAAATTATAAATCGCTTTTAAAGTAAAGTTTAAACTACAAAAAAATAGAGATCAAAAAACACATAATGAATTTATCATAATGTACTTGAAGTGTAATAATGTAATATCATAATGTACTCATGTACAGTCAGCGGGCCGGTCAAAATCTTGTTGCGGGCCGGACCCGGCCCGCGGGCCGTATGTTGCCCACCCCTGCTCTACGACATATGAGCTAAAATGTTTGCGAAAACTCAGTCATTTACAAATTATTACATAATCAATGTTATTTAATGACAGTGGTAGATTACCGAACCTTTAATCAATACAGAATGAAACATGATCTTTCATACAGCTTTTACTGCGTTCATAGATGTATTATATTTATGTATATATATGTATTATGTATTCGCCATATATAAATCAAGATTTGTTATTTCTACGTTGCGCAGGAATTCATTGCTAAAAAAACAATAAAGTTAGTTTTTTTCTGGATGACCGATTTCAACAATTCTGGTTTTGATATTAATCTAAAATAAAGTTTGTAAACATTTGCAAGTCAATGAGTAATCAAGTCAAAATAGTCTTTAGTTTTTTTTTCATTTGTCATTTGTCATTTTACTTTAGTTATCATGTGACCTTCTTCTATAAGTATTTCCAAATTTCGACATAATGTTGTCAGACTCACGTCGAATTGGAGAAGTTTCTGGTCACAAAAAATTAAACGAGAAGCCCTCAGGACTTCCCCTGTGAATAATCCATAAATATACCGATTTTGTCATACAGTTTTCTAACGCTCATGCTATCTTATAAATGCAAGGCTGCCTGTAGCTATTTTCGCCCATATGACACTGTGATGTTCTCAGGGCTTTTGCTTTGGAGAAATAAAGACAATTCGCCATTTATGCAGTCCTATGTATAAGTCTAATGAAATAGTTTGCCAGAGTGACAAGAGAAATATTATTTCATTGTGCTTTTGAAAGAAGTTTATTCCCTGTCGTTGGTAATTTTTATGTTTTTCAATAATTCATTTCATTGTTTACAATATAAGTGTTAGTGAAAAGAAAGTTACATTCGTAAGAATAAGTAGAATTAAAGTTTATTCTGAATCATAACAATGTTGTTTATACGTGAAATATTCAAGTCAACAAATGTAAAGATTATTGAGGCGTTCGAAAGTCACTGTCTAACTTGTTGAGTACTTTCGTTCTATCCATATTGTCGATTTTTAATTTAATATTCAGCAATGTTACTCTGGTCAACCTATCTCAGTATCATCCGGTTAAAATGCAAGCTACTATATGTTGTTAACTTGCATTCATACGTTGTGCTTTAGAATTTTGCAATTCACAAAATTTAGCAGGAATTGGCGAATTGTTGCATTGTATGCAATGTTTCAGTTGTATAGAATAGTTACTGCTGTGGTGAACACCCTGTATTGTGACCATTGTTGCAACTTTCATATTTAATTAATTTTCTGATGGTAATCAAATGACCATACTTTGAAGAACGTTGAAAGTTGTGAGAAGTAATTCATAGCCATTACTCAGAAAATTTATTGTTACATACTATGACAAAACGTACGCACCGTGTGTCTTGCCTGACTTTTCTTTTCTCGTGATCGATGAGTCATAGTCTAAGATTAGTAATACAGGAACCTTGGTTAGTTTCAATTACACGCAACGTCAGACAAATTAGCATACCCAAAAAATCCCCATGATATATTCAAAATTTTTTTTGAGGATCCATCCGAAAATTTTCGCAAACAAGTACAGCAAATGCCTGAAGAGACTTCAATGTGTTAAATGGACGATTTGAAATTGTTTATATTGTTGCAGAATATAATAAATATATATGTACGTGTGATCAAAGCCAAGGCCAAGGTTAAAACAACATTGTTGCCTTCACAATAAAGACAATACAAAGGACTCTCGTTAAAACATTTTAACCGCAGACAAATGAATAGTTATATCTTATGGTATCATAGTGATATAAGAAAGAGTGTAAGCAATCTAAATAAATATTATAGTCAAGATTCAACTACGTTATTTGTGCCTTTACTGAGTTGCGCTGAAGTAGCATTTTGTTAAGGCCAGACAAGCATATTTATTTAGCTACACAGCTTCAGATGACTTCATGAAAACGAATGTTAGAATAATTCTTCAGCATTTTAAGTGTAAAATCAAGCAGTAATCTCTTGATTTCACAAAAAGTTTATTTTTATTGTTGACAATGCGGAAGCAATAAATAAATTTATACAGTGTGTTTTAATAAATGTAAATCTTTCAAGAACATTATGAATTATCACCAGCGTAGAACTAATACTGGGGACCGTACATTTGAACCCATGTGTTTATCCGCGGGTTCAATCAATATGTGGGTGCTAAAACCCATGGATTATAGTTAGTATAGGTTCGAATATCCGTGAAACAAAAAAAATTTCCATAGGTGCAATAGTATGCAGGTGCAATTGTAGTCGGTTCAGATGTACGTGGTTCAAATGTAATAGAACCCTAATACTTACTTTCAAATCGAGCTACCATATTACAGTTAATTGTATATTATGGATGTATATTTCAAGTGTATACTTTCAGTTCAAGTGACTGTTGTCCAACTTTGTCGCAAAGAACATAATATATTCTGTTTGGTATAAATACCTTTAAAAACTGTGGACAATGGACAAATGTTGTAGAGTGATTGTTCTTGCTTTAAATCATCTAACATTTTCCACCAGATAAATATTATATATACATATTGATCGCTGTCAACTGAACTACGAAATACGGATCCATCATTTGTATAATGGCATCTTTCAGTCGCCAACGAGTTTTGCCAGTTACGTCAGGGGACAATACCCCACAAGTTGAATCGAAATACTTTTGTGAAGCTTCAAATAATCAGGTAATTTGATGTATTGTGATTATATATTGGTCGTTATAGGCTATAATTGGTTAGGTTGTTAGACAAAGACAGTGTAAAAAAAACAATCAGTTAGGTAGATACAACGAAAGCAAAAAGAATGCATAATTCTCATGCTACCTTTGCATTTTTGGATACGAAGTGGACCCATGAATATTTTTTCTTCTGTTTGTTGGAAAAAATCGCTTCCATCTTCAACTATTGAACTTTGAAACTATTGCTTTAAAATTTTCCTTGATTAAGGATGTTTTTATCGCTAGAAGGCTATTACTTATTTGAAATCTCTAATGAATCCTATGAGATCGGATATTTCGTCCAAACTTTTGCTGTGATATTTTTTTTTCATGGGAATACGGGCTTTAATCCGCCAAGCGTGACAGCTATCTTTCGTTTTGATTTTGCGAACTCGTGCAACGAGAAACTCGGCGATTATTTGGTTTTGGTAACGCACGGTAAGAATTGTGTCGTAAACTATACTTCGTTTTGGCCTTCATGTTAAAAAATTTTAGTATCGCCCTCTTGTTTTATCAATATTACTAGTTCGTGTATTAAATATTCCCTTTCATGTAAATAAGACTAGTATGGTATATTTCACCAATTCCAGGTTAATATATATCTTGAGCTAAAATCACCTGCTCGAATCGGAGTCAAAAATCCTCTCTGTTTCATACTTGTAATCGACGCAAGTGGTAGTATGAGTAATCCGGTTGGAAATGACAGCACATCATTATTTGACAGGATGAAGGTATGAAATAGGACAATGCTTATTTGTATTTTGAACCTATTAGTGTGTGCACCAAATTGAGCATCTACATTTTATAGTAGTTAAGTTAACTCACATATTATATTTTGTATATCTATGACAGCGTTTTGACTATATCTCACTCAAATCGGTGGCACAAAATAGAGTTTTGAACGATATGTTCAGTTCGTTCAATATTAGATAATAACCCGATATTCCCCTTATCCCAGAAATCACAGATAAATTTACAACATTTGGGGTTGGCGGAGATCATTTCAACTATTTTACAACTATTAACCATTTATTTTAATTTTATTGTTGATTGACCTTCAGACATTTGCCCATATGATGATAGAGCATGTGTCAAGTGATGACTATCTAGCGATAATTTCATTTGCCGAAGATGCCAGAGTTGATCTTGGTATAACAAAGATGGATGATCATGGAAAGGTATAGTAGATTAGTTAAGAAAGTATCCATAGGTGTACACAATCATTTTAAATAAAAAATACAAAAAAAAAATTCTCGAATTTTAATAACGATTTCAAGTGAATACATCTTTGATACATGTAAGTGAGCTAAAATACATATATATAGTACATATTGATTTCCACTTTGTTTGGAATTATTAAAATGAATGGTGGACTCAAGACATTCGATATATATAGCAAAATCTAAGTCATCGTTTCATACAGTAAAGAAAATTATTCGTGTTGATTGCAGAATTTGGCAAAAAAAACTTTACCGCTACTGAACTTGAGAGGGACAACAAATTTAGAAGATGGCTTGACTAAAGCTCTCGAGGAAATTAAATGGTGAGGATATCATTTATTTGACTTTGTATATTATGTTTTTGAACAAAAAAATTAAACTTTTATTTGCATATAAAGCTCTTCTATCAATTTATGATTACGACAAATATGTGATGTAAGTTTGTTATCTTAAGGGCAAGGTCACATTTTTGGAAGGAGGGAAATGTACGATCCAATATTATTCTTTTCACTGATGGCTTACCAAACCGCGGAATAAGGGACGCTCAAAGACTTATTGCCAAGTACAAAGAAATCGAAAAGTCAATGTCGGGCGGAAGTCGCGTTCCACTATCAGCGTTTACTATTGGTAACTACAGGCCCGAAGTACTGGTTGAGGTGAGTTTTGCGAATATACTCGTCACACATCAAATACATTGTAACATTAAGTTTAGTTCTTGTAAAATTGTCTTGATGTGAGTTTGTAAAGTGTTTCTGAAATTTAATGAAATGAGCTACGTACGTACAATTTTATTTTACATATCGTGAGAGATGTCATTGTTTGCATTTTGTTATTTGTAATTCACTTGAAATAAGGCCGTAATATCGGTCTCGTTTATTTCGTATTATTGTACTCAATCTATTGCATTAGAATTGAGACGAGGACATACACACATCTTATAATTTTAGATTGCTTCAAAGCTCAGTAGTGAAGCATTTTACTGGTTGGATCAGAATCAGAACTTTGAAAGTGACATGATGATACCACTATTTTTGAAGTAAGTCATGCGTTGGACATTAGTAAAAATGACATACCCTATAAATTCCATTCAAGAAAATATTGTTTGAACTATTTTAAAAACAATGCCTCATCAATTTTAACTATACTGTAAAGAAGTTCATTATATTTGTGCTCTTGCTTTTTCTGTTTTCATTTTTGTACTCAAATATTTAATTGAAATAAAACGAGTCATTTTTTAATAAATATCAGGAAAATGACGCACGTGAGTGACGTTCGTGTGAAACTGCAATCTGGTTGTGACGTTTATTTTAGCCCAACCAAAACCTCAAAGGATCATTTGGAGGTAAGGGCATAAATGATCCTATGTCGTGAAAAATATATTTACCCTTAAAAATTATAATTATTTTGTCACTCAATTTAACAACATTTTTATCTTGTTTAAATTCAATTTTCAGGAGCAAACATTTGACAATCTGACATATTTTTTACATTCTCTACCGGAAGATATGCCAAAAACGATATCAATATACCTCGAGATCAGACCTGGTTTATTGTTGTCGGTGAGATATTACACATTATATTACGTGAAAATATCCACTACTTCGTAAAAACTGTGCATACGTTGCAAAATTACACTTTAAATAATGAGCATCACAATTGGCTTGAATAAAATCTCTCCCAGCTGCTATCGGTCCTATGAATGATATTTTAAATAGTTGTGAATTAACTTGTTAGTATATCTATTAGTTTTGATAAATATCTTAATGAATTTGAATTTATTATAATATTCAAATTAATCACATCAATCGGGGAGCCAAAGGTATTTCATGTTCTAGATGCTGCATGGACAAACTATTTTGAGCGCACATATTTCCTACTTGGATGAGAACTTGAAAATGGTGGAATTTCAAGATGTGATCACATTTTCTCAGTCTACGTTATTTGAAATAATGACCAAAACGTTTGTTCCCAGTGAAATTCAAGGTATATGATATTAATACTCAAAGATACTCTGCGATATTCAACGTAGCTTACGGCTATATTCATCCTAGAAATTCTGTATTATGATAGTAAATCTATAAAAAAACATTTCAAAATAAACTATTTTCATACAGGATCATCTGCATTCCAAGCACTCACCTTTTTGATAAACTGCGAACATATCTTACAAATAAGCACCTCAAAAAGTTAAATTCATACATATGCCATTACCTAATATAAAGGCCTAATTACATTACAGTGCCGTTTTTTCTAGTTCGATATATGGTTTTTTTGTCTTGGGTACGTCAAGTTTTATACCAACCGTTCTTCAAAGGAATCTACATGTATATAGTGTAGAATATAGATTTACTCGTTTTATTTTCCGCGACAAAGCGATAGATGCGGAGACGCAGAGTTATGCCAGATCTTCATATCTTTTCACATCCGGAGTCAGTCAAACACAAGAGACTTGGACAGAAGCCAAACAATCGTTGTTGAAATATGTTCAAATGGCTTGTTTGAATGATACTGCCAATGTTATTCTCGCAGCACAAAATCATGCTCGGTAAGGACCAATATCTGAAATAGGTACAAAAATTGTAGCCTACCTTTTATGTGCAGAAAGCGCTGGTGTTGGTATACTACCTGTTGATAAGGTAGTTTCTGTCTTCTGCCTATGCTGTGTCCTTTTTCCCATTTCAATTCCACACAAATTGCATTTTCAACAGAGATGTTAATGAAATGGCTGAATCAACACTTTTGTTATTCGAGAAACATACTCAACGATTTGGGAAAATTGTACGTAATGACCAATTGGCATTACGTGGTCTGAACATCTATTTGTCGCAGCTGAAATCTCACGTAGATACGGCAAGAGAGGCAGTTATAGTCGAAAATGGGTAGGCTTTTGGTTATATTTAAAATATAAAAAGTAATAATTTGAGTTACCTTCAATTGTTTCCCTTGTTACAAGAACATTTTTATTTGGAAGCATGAGGTGATTATTTTTCGAAACTATTACGATATGACAACGATTGCTTGAAATTATAATATTTTTTATTCATACTGCAGCTATTTAACGGGAATAGATTAAATATAAAATATGTGGTGATAATATTATATATGGTTTGCAGTCAGATGTATCTTTTGTTTTCCAACATGAAGGTCCAACTTTTCTCAAATGGCTGCAATTGTTTCTGCCTTGAAAAACGAGACTCCCGGCGTCGGAGTATCAGGGTTAAGAGAAAAACACAAGATTGACACGAAATTGAATGATCTACGCCAGGTATCTATCTCATACTCACAAGAATGGGCTGTATTTCATATAGACCATTACATATAAACAACCTAAATAGAATTTGTCGGACAGGATATTAGTTCATATTTATAATCAGACCCTTTTACTCACTTACATACGTTACTCTACATTGTCTTATTTGTACATACATGTCCATAAATTACATGTTCGTGGAAACCGGTATAGCGACTGTAAATGACAACATTACACACTCAATTTAATACTTTGTATTAAATTCTGATTTTTAAATAAATTTCATCGAGTGTGTTCATGATGAATGCTTCTCAATTAACCCACGTAAGCAGAAAGAACCCTTCTCATCGCGTAGAACGTGGGCATGTTATCATAATTTTCAAAATATTCCTGCCATCGATTTTAATTGGCATAGTAAATTACTATATTGAAAGAATTTTCTGGGATATACCCCGTACGCTAATAGATCGTAAGCCTACTTTCAGCCTTTCATTTTCTACTGCAATTTCATATATATTTGAGTTATATATATTTCATATCTATATAAATCATTTCCATTTTCAGATCTTGAGCGATGCGAAATCGCATCTTCGAAAGACCTTGCCAACGAAAGGGTAAAGAATTAATTATTGTTTTGTATTTATGTTAGGTTAATAGATCCCATTGTCATACAAAGTCGAATTTCAAGTCAGCGGGAATAATGAAAAAGGTTTTACGATTGTAGATGGCTGAAAACATAGAAAACCGTGAATTGAGGGGCATTAGTAATATTTTAAAACAACAATGGCTCTCCGTTCAATCAAATTTTACAATTAATAACTACAAATCAAGTCCACTGCTATAGCAATTCACGTCCGTGGCGAAAGATTGCTGTTGTCAATAGGATTGCTGATAAAAAGGCCACGTAGTGGTAATATAAGCGCAAAGTGAGAAAAATTTGAAGTGAAAAATAGAGACCCTTGGGACCAGAAGAAAACTAAATAAACAATTTGACAGAAATAGTTTTTTAGCGACATCTTCCATTTTAGCAATTTATCAAAACAATTCCTATGTAAATTGCATGTCCAATAAATGGAGTCAAAGAAAGCAAATGAGAAAATTCAATAGCGGGTTAATAACAGGATGATACTCAAACAGGCTGTTCGTTGAGGAGCCAAATACAGAAACTTACCATTATAATATAAATATAATAGTTTGTCTTTAGTGGTCATATGTCCGATCGAGTTAATGTGATGTGAGAATTTTAATATTGTATTTATATATTTACCAATTCAAAATTTAAGACAATATTTACTTAACAGGTCCCACAATTATTCGCGAATGGCAGAGGTTCTTAGTGCTATATATGGAGAACAAACTGAATGTGCACATAATGATAAGGTATGAGTTGCTTGTAAATATTTAATAATTTTAAAGACAAGTTTACTGCATTCGGAACAAACATCGTAATGAAGCTGAACTTTTATAGCAACATGATCCTACAGATATATAAATTTGTTTGTACTCATAGCAACTGATTTAATGTCACATTTTTACACTGCATATGTTGATGAATTTTAGCAAGTGAAATTTGCCCAAAATTGAAACATATACGTGTTATTTCATAAGTTGCTGTTTTTCTATTTGTCTCATAATAAGAGTTTCATTACTTGTCTATTTCAGACCAGTCGCTGTCGCCATGCATTTCGAACACACAACGTTGTAATAATAAATCTTTCCAAGACATAAAAACCTCTTTGTTGGTTATTATTGTATTATTTGTAAAAAAATAAATTAGAAAAATATTGGTCTGGTTCATTACCAAATTCTTGATGGCAATGTTAGTGTAATAAATTCATGTATTTTTGAATATTTATTTATTTTACTATTTACTTATCTTTATGCAGAATGAAAACGAAGTGATGAAAACTTGGTGAGTTGAATGCCTCAAAACATTCGTTCGAATTTTTAAATAATTTCCAAATCGAATTGCAATTGCATTAATTAAAGCTTAAGTGCATGTTATTTATTATACAAACAATATATTTACTTTCTGGATTACGACACAATAATTTATATTTATAATTGCAGGATTTTTGAAGATATTTACTTTGTGCTAGCGGAATCTTATACAGATAGGAACAAGCTCGAAAGCACAATTCAGAATTTAGGAGGAACTTTCGGTAGGTGTACTTCAGTTCATGTAACAGCAATACTTCTAGTGTAAAAACCTCTATCTTTCAAACATGCCAGAAATCTAAAACCTTTTTATGGAGCGCTTATTCTCAAAATTAGCATGTGAGGAAAATATAAAATTTGCAATGCATCCACAGCGCGATTCCAGGGGGTCCATAGATAAAGTGCTAATTATATTAAATGAGTACATTTTATTAAAGTTATTGCACTTTTCATATGTTGTTGGATAAACTGAAACATTTAGGACGTTTTCAAGCAATGCGTGAAACTATAAAAATCATGCTATAATTACTCACTAAAACAGTTTGAAATCTATAGTGAATCTTACTTATTTATTGCAAGCTTTCTTGTATTTACAGGCGACAAAATAATCGGCGGAAATGCGCGCACGATTTATGTAATTTGCTCAAAGGAGGGACCACATAACACAACTATCATTACCGAAGCACAGCAGAAAGGGGTAAAAAAGCATTTGTCAATATTTTATAAAATACCCAAAACAACAGCCTATTATAGATTCTGAGGTAGAATAATCAAAATATTAGTACTAATATTCAAAAGTACTGAGACAATAAATCATGGTTCTTACAACTTTCGGAAACATTATTCTTGATAAACGAACCGATTTGTTAAGAGAATACTCACACAAGATAACTAATCACAACCACAATCGATCACGTGAGCTCATGCTTCCGATTTCTAATATTTTGTTTCAAGCCACGTATGGACACCATAATTCACATTGATCGGCGCCATCACGTCCTTGCCTCGAAAGCATTGTCAGTTTTTCTTTTATTATGTGATTAAATCAATGGTATTTAACAGATACCCATTGTCCACGAGAAATACGTTGAAGAATGTGAGAGGGAAAACGAACTCCTCGCTTGGTTTAAATTTGCCCTCAAGTCGCAATAACGGATTTGTGATTGGTTTGCATCACAACAAGACTCGGAACTGCATATGCTTGCATCACAGTCTTCATTGCAGTCCATGGTTTGGATATATTGTTAATGCTGATTCTATCTTTAACTGCGCACGCGCTGTCACAAACTCTCATCCTGACAGATAAACCTCTTTCACAATATGTAGAGACGAGGGACAACAACAAAAAATCATATTCACAAGTTTTTAAAACCAATTGCAATGAGTAAATATTGACTTTGTCTATTGATTTCGATGTTTAAACTAGATGGTGAAGCCATTATTGAATCAATATATATATGTAAGATTTCAAAATAATATACTATGCCGTATTGTATATAAAATTTCCATGAATAATTTCATTTTTACATAAACTTCAAGTCTCATCACTGAAAGGATGTTTCAAATTTTATGTTGTATACAATAGAAATTACTTTAACATTTGACTATTTCATTTGTTGAAAACATCAAAGAATAAGGTAATTCTAGTGATTTATAATTTGATGCAATCAGAACCAACCATTTTGTATACCTTCAGAATCATATTATAGATGTAACATTGTATATTACATTCTCATTTAACTTTCAATTTTTGTCGTCATTTTGCAAGAATTTTAGGGACGGTATACACGACAGCAGAATAATTTACCGTACTGCGGCTCCCTTCTAAGCATTGTTTTAGCTCGAGAAGTCATCAAAGGCTACACCTTGTAGAGTTAATATAACAATAATTAGGCTATATTTAATATGGCTTACATATTTATCCCGGGGAGAGAAAAAGTCGGTTACCAGTTCATGGCGGGTATGGGATAGTTAGTTACTTATTTTTTTCAATCTGCAAGGACTTGAAGGTGGGCCACCTTCAGGAGTTCATTTTCGAAGGGCACATAAATACCTAACAACTTGTAACAATTGCAATTTGGGCAGCCGCACAGACACTCCTTCAACTCGGACAGATATTTTCATAGCCTTCATCCATTATTTGTGTTATTGAAACATTAGGTGCCTGCGTACTCACATATAAGACAAATTGCACAATATTAGACAAATCGGATCAACTGAAGAATTCTGACAGAATGTGATATTTCATATTATAACATTTGCGATGCTTTTTGATAGCACCGAACTTTATTATACTTGCCTTCTTGAAGCCTGAATTAGGTTAGAGTATGTGCCCTCCTGATTACATTTTGAATAAATACTTGTCCGGGACACCGTGATATCCTGCCTTTATCACACTTGTACTGCTTGTGTCAGAGTTGTCATATTTGTCCTGGTTGTTACTTATCTATTTTAATCGGTAAGTATGTTGATAGGTATTTGTCTGTCTGTTTGTCTGTTAGATGCACGCGATATCTCACGAAAGCGAGATTGAATCTTCTCCAAATTTTGCATGTTCATTCATCATATCTCGGAACAGAAGCCTATTGACTTTGAGCAAATCATGTCGTATAATTAGCGAGTTATTAATTAATTAGTGATGGGCCACAAGGTGTCACTATAGAGTAAGAGCGCTGTTTTGGGGGATCTCCTGACTTTCGATCGATAAGTCTTCGGTCTCTGACCGATATTCTCGTTTAACACTTGTCAAGATTATAACCCTTTTCACAATTGCCACATACACCTTCTGCTTGCACCACACTTCTCCAGTTTGTCCCATACTTGTCCTGCTTTCTTCACACGTGTCCTAATTTTCCACTTGTAATGTTTGTAGCAAACTTGTCGCACTCTTTCCCCCACTCGATCTTCTAGTTTCTTACTTTTTGGTTCATATCAGACACGTCCTGATTGTATCAAACTTTTACGACTTGGCGCACTATACTCCTCTGTTTGTCCCACACACTTCCCGCTTTTTTTAAACCTGCCCTAACTTTCTACTTGTAATGCTTGTCTCAAATATGCCTGGCCTGTACCACACTTGATCTGCTTGTTTCACTTTTTTTTTTTTGATTTTTTACAAATCCGTATTCCTTCAAATTTTTCTTGTTTGTCTTATAGCATAAACCCCCCAGATTTACCCCAATTTAAGATAAAAATCATTATCAAATTTATTTTCTCAGAATATTTGAGCACTGATTGAAATAATTATATGTAAGTTCCCATCCGTACGACGTACATAATTACCCGTATTAAGATAATAAGATTTTCTGTTTATACCCCGAATCACGAAATACAAATTGCTCTGCTTGTCCCACATTTGAGTTGCCATGTCACACTTGTATTGCATGTCCTATACTCCTACTGTTTGTCCCACAATTTTCCCGCTTGTTTCACACAAGTCCTGCATGTTGCGCAATTGTTTAGTTCGTTTCCTATTTCCAACTTGCATTACACTTGTTCCACATACGTTCTTAATAAATCACACTTGTTGTGTTTGTCTCACACTTGTTCTGCAAACAACATAATAGTCCTGTTGGAGTCCTGTCCTGTTCTTGAACACCAACTAAAATATCACAAGGATTGTTTACTTATTTATTAATTCCACTTATCCGATGTTTTTGTGAATATCCTCTGATTGATTGAACTTTGTTTACAAAGTTACGCATCGTCGGTCGCCGTATTGATTAAATCAAACTGGTCTTGCTTGGCTTTCTGCTGGTCCCGCTGGAACCATGTTCTGTTAACCCAACTGAAATATAAAAAAGTTCGTTCACTTATCTATTAATTCCACTTATTCAATATTTTTGAGAATTTCTTTTCATTGAACTTTGTTTACAAAGTTACGTTACGTCGGTTTCTACTTATCCGGAATTTGTGGTAATTTCCTCTATACAGGAATGGCCGACGAGTCGATCGCGATCGACCGCCATGTCTCAAGTAGTCGATCTCAGCGTCTAATGTGTGTTATAAAACAGGAAGAATACAGTACTGTACATGCACCAAATACGATAAACACATACACTATTTGAGTCCGGGCAAGCACGATAGAGGATATATTACGTAACAAATGGAAATTTTGCCGCTGCCAAAGTTTAGAAATGAACGTGCCGAATACCGTGTGTCTTGCCTGAGAAACGATCCTACTTCTGCAGTTATGCATAAGTTATCGTCTCACTCCGAGAGTAGTGTGGAAAAGTATATTTGCAACAGTAGCAGTGGGCCATTTTTTTTCTAATTCCAAGCGAGCAAAGAATCGAACAATCGGACTTTTAAATTAGATAGTGAAGTTTGAGCAGTCGTGTAACATTTAGGGTTTGAGAATATTTATTTTATGCTGTTTAGGTAATACATGTATACCTAGCAAAGTTTTGTGAGCAATTTTATAACACTTACGATTAAAAATTAGTCAGGATTTGGATCTAAATTGTATGATTCGAATAAATCTTAATCAAATTTACAAGTTAAATGTAACATGAAAATGTAAATTTTTGGGGCAATTTCATTAAATGCCCCCTCAGAGTCGAGCCTATTGGCAGCGGTGGAATTTTTCGTATGTATGTGCGCAGTCATCTGTATATTACTCATTAGATTTTGCGTATGGCCTTATTGTCGATCAGCCAATCTCGATCTATTTTGAAGATTTTAGTCGAAAGCATGTTGGCCCCTCCTGGAGTAAAGTTACAATCAAATTATGACGTTTCTTTCAGTCGATCACCTAATCACCTACCAGAGGTGAGAAAATACAGTGCATAACGTCCTTCAACCATTGTGGATAAATTGAATCTAGGCATACATAACAAAGGCAATGTCCCAGTTTAGCTGCGGAGAGAGTGACAAAAATTCTAAAAAGACTGAGGTGGAACATCTCGATTTTTATTGGACGAGCAAATGCAGAGTTGTTTCCAACTGTGACTGACTGACCAAAGTAGCTGCATGTGTTTGTCTCTTTACTAAAAAAAAGCCAGTAAAATATAATATAGATCGCAGCATCAATTTTAACCTATATCGATACTGAATTTTACATCCTTTATATTAAAATACCGATTCAAAAACGACGATAAAGCGTAACATATAAAATGATTTTAGAGATTGTAACGTAAATTTTGTAAGCTTGTATTTCATAGCACAACATCATTTTTTTTATCAATATATTATTTTTAGGAGCAAACTCTGCACAACCTGAAATATTTTTTACATTCTGTTCCGGATGATTAGCCCAAAACGATTGCTATCGGTAGGAGCAATACAAATCCATAACATTATAAATGTATTTCAGTCACAATAGAAAATATCGAATAAAACTATCAAATTATATCTCATCAGCTAAACATGAGTAAGTTTTAATATCTACCGAGATCATGTTTTTGTATAGACAATTGATCGCTTGTATTAAAAGACAGGTGTCGTTGACAAAAACATTGCCGAATTTGTGATATTAAAATCCTCCAAAAGAAATTAAATTTTGCGCAAAGGATAAGCTATTCAAAGCACCAAAGCAGGTTCAATTTCTGCGTTTTCTGGGCTGCCGATAGACCATTCACAAAAGTAAATTTACTCACAGTTGAAACGCAAACAAAAGTTGTAATTGTTTTCCGTTTATCAAAGCTTCAATTATTACGTTAAATTCCCTTTGGTGAAGTAAATATGAATAAAAACATCATGCTGCAGATGCTGCACGGACAAATTATTTTGGAAGCTCATATTTTTACTTGGATGAAAAGTGGCAAATGTGGTGTTTCGAGACACTATTACATTCTCTTATTCTACTTCGTTTGAAATTATTTTTAAAACCCTTCCTTTATGTGCAATTCAGGGTAAAACAATCGATCTTACTTTTTAGGTTTTTGTTACTTTGAATCACAATCAAAATAATTCCAACAAGGTGATTGATTATTGCTCATACAACCCAATAAAAATCGAAATCGAGAAAAATGCTGTACACTATTAGAATTCGCTGTAGTTTTATTTTATCACCTGCCCACAACTGAACTATATGGAAACAGCATTGTTTCAGAAATATGGTGTTGTGTAAATTTATTCCAACATATAAAAGAAATAATTTGACCATTTTTTATCGAACGAAATGAACTTACGCGATATTTACACCGGTATTAAATATACTAGGAAGTTCGGCATTTAATCCAGTACTAAAGCTAATATTCAGTTTATATACTAATATCAGTGCAATAAGATATATAAATCACAAAAAATTGACAAATCCGCACACTATTTCTCATAAACGTTAAAAGGCGAACGAGTTTACTGAATTTTGTCACATCGCAATACTATATATTTATTTATATATATATATATAGTTCGGGGCCTCCAAATCATAGAATCATTCAAGTGTGAATTGATTGACGGCTTGATTGACAGGTACCCACCTTCAAATCACAAAAACTTTCACTGGCCCTATCGCAAGGAATGGTTATGTGGACGCCACCCAAGACTTACATGACGAGTTCACCCGAATCGGTTTGCTAGGACGTACTGTTAATTTTGTTGACACAAAACGAAACACAAAAACGCACAAAACGTAATCTTATATAATATTGTTCTAATTGTCTTTCGTGTCTCTGTTGTCCCAATAAACCCACGAGTCCATTTGTCCCACGTGTCCCATGGGAAATACAAATGTGTACTGTCTCATCCCAGCATTTGACGTGTTCCAAGGACAAGCGTTGAAAAATGATCTGTTATTAGCAATAAGCATAACGTGGGAATGTTTGTATCACTTGAGGTTCACCCTTTACAATTATCAATAGTTTGTCAAATAAAAAAAAAAATCAATTTGGATATACTTAAATATAAACTACATCACCTTTCGCATAACGTTATGTTACAAATACTGTATGGGTTCAAGCGAAACTTGTTTCTAGCGAGTTGACACAATTTTACTTTATTCCCCAAGAATTCTGTTTATGCGACCTCCGCATAAACTTCAAGCGGAATCCAACGAAAACAATAAAAATATATTTTGGAATCGATAAAAATGAAATGAAATAATTATCATGTTCCGTTCTGTTTTATGGAGAGTATTTTTTGGAAAAGAATTGACTAAAAATGCAACCTCAATAGATCTCAAAATATAATTGTTTATCAATGATCCACGCCTTACTCATCGGAGACAGGGGTTTGCGCGAATCCGTTTTTGGAGTGTTGCAATAATCAGAAAACCCTTTCTTGTTTTGTTATTAGTTTGGAATAGATTTTTAAACTATATTAATCTGTTGTAAGCAAGTTCGAAGCAAAATGAAAACCTGTTTTTGAAATATTTCCAAGTTT